CTCTTGAGATGGGAAAACACGTTTTTCATGAAGTTGAACGTGCTCTTTATGACAGAATGTTAACACTTCTCAAAATGCACCGAATTGGTGGAATGACCCGAATACCATCAACTAAACCGTATCAATATGAAACATTCATAGGTGCAAAAGAGTTAAATTAAATAGACATTATCATTCTACAAACACATCATACAAGAACTAGCCGCTACGCACTAGCTCAGCACCGGGATTAAAACTCGAGTTTAGTTTCATGTCAAGTCAAACAGCAGTTACCTAGCCAAAGCCATCTACTACAGCCATCTTTACCTCTGCAATGTTTTGAGAAAAAGTTTAGGTGTTCCCTGCAGCTGCGACGATGCGCAATTTTTATTGCAAACATTTTCAGAATATATAATGTAACTCTTTACTCTCTCTCCTCCATATTCTGTATGCGACAGTTTTTGCCTTAGTTGTCAGGAGGAACTGACGGGATGATTTCTGTATTGCAAATTAAGTGTGGTTCCTATTAAGAAATGTCAAACAAATATGCTAACATATTAGTCATTTTATACTATTAGATTTGTTATATGTGTCAGTTAAATGATCATTATTGACTGAGGTGAATGAAGCTACAGCACAGGAGGTTGGTGGCACCTTAATTGGGGAGGGTGGGCTCATGGTAATGACTGGAGCGGAATTCTTCGAATGGTATCTAATACCTGGTTTCCATGTGTTTGATGCAATTCCATTTACTCCGTTCCAGACATTATTATGAGCCATCCTCCCATCAGCAGCCTCCACTGAGCTACAGCAACTAAGTGATAATGGCTGGAATCAATTTGGCTTGTTTTTGCTGTTCTCCAAATAGCATTTCAGAGTTTTTAAATTGAGCTTCAATCATATAACCCCCCCCCCCCCCCCCCCCCCCCTGCCATACATTTTATATTTTAGTCATTTAGCAGATGCTCTTATCCAGTTAGTGAGTGCATACATTTTTCATACTAGCCCCCCGTGGGGTTTAGCCGAAATGATGCCCCTGAGTATGTTTCTCAACTCCCCATAGCTTATCTGGTGCTAGATATTGCGGTCGTGTCTGTTGTGGTGTTCAGTACCACCTTTCTTGAATGAGGGGACATTGCCACTAGAGCAATAAATAAAGCATATGACTCAATATATAGATTCATAGAGTGCAATCGTAAAGTATTCAGACCCCTTCCCTTTCTCCACAGTTTGTTATAGCCTTATTCTAAAATTCATTAAATTAATTTTTTTCCCTTATCAATCTACACACAATACCCCATAATTACAAAGCAAAAACAGGTTTTTAGAAAAAAAAAGAAATACCTTATTTACATAAGTATTCAGACCCTTTGCTATGAGACTCGAAATTGAGCTCAGGTGCATCCTGTTTCCATTGATCATCCTTGAGCTGTTTCTACAACTTGATTGGGGTCTACCTGTGGTCAATTCAATTGGACATGATTTGGAAAGGCACACACCTGTCTATATAAGGTTCCACTGTTGATAGTGCATGTCAGAGCAAAAACCAAGCCATGAGGTTGAAGGAATTGTCCGTAGAGCTCAGAGACAGGATTGTGTCGAGGCACAGATCTGGGGAAGGGTACCAAAAAATGTCTGCAGCATTGAAGGTCCCCAAGAACACAGTGGACCATCATTCTTAAATGGAAGAAGTTTAGAACCACCAAGACTCTTCCTAGAGCTGGCCGCCTGGCCAAACTGAGCAATCGGGGGAGAAGGGCCTTGGTCAGGGAGGTGACCAAGAACCTGATGGTCACTCTGACAAAGCTCCAGGGTTCCTCTGTGGAGATGGGAGAACCTTCCAGAAGGACAACCATCTCTGCAGCACTCCACAAATCAGGCCTTTATGGTAGAGTGGCCAGATGGAAGCCACTCCTCAGTAGAAGGCACATGACAGCCCGCTTGGAGTTTGCCAAAAGGCACCTAAAGGACTCTCAGACCATGAGAAACAAGATTATCTGGTCTGATGAAACCAAGATTGAACTCTTTGGCCTGAATGCCAAGCGTCACGTCTGGAGGAAACCTGGCACCATCCCTACGGTGAAGCATGGTGGTGGCAGCATCATGCTGTGGGGATGTTTTTCAGCGGCAGGGACTGGGAGACTAGTCAGGATCGAGGCAAAGATGAACAGAGTAAAGTACAGAGAGATTCTTGATGAAAACCTGCTCCAGAGCGCTCAGGACCTCAGACTGGGGCGAAGGTTCACCTTCCAACAGGACAACGACCCTAAGCACACAGCCAAGACAACACAGGAGTGGGTTCGGGACAAGTCTCTGAATGTCCTTGAGTGGCCCAGCCAGAGCCCAGACTTGAACCCAATCGAACATCTCTGGAGAGATCTGAAAATAGCTGTGCAGCGACGCTCCCCATCCAACCTGACATAGCTTGAGAGGATCTGCAACGAAGAATGTGAGAAACTCCCCAAATACAGATGTGCCAAGCTTGTAGTGTCATACCCAAGAAGTCTTGATGCTGTAATCGCTGCCAAAGGTGCTTCAACAAAGTACTGAGTAAAGGGTCTGAATACTTATGTAAATGTAATATATTTCCAGGGGGGTTTTATTGAGCAGAAATGTCTAAAAACCTGGTTTTGCTTTGTCATTATGGGGTATTGTGTGTAGATTGATGAGGGAAAAAAACAATTGAATCAATTTTAGAATAAGGTTGTAACATAACATAATGTGGAAAAAGTCAAGGGGTCTGAATACTTTGTATGTGTGTGTGTGAGAGAGAGGGCACCTCCCTGGCACATGTCCTTCAGAGCACAAATGTGAAGGCCACTCCTTTCTTCCTCATTCTAAACAGCATTATATGGCTCCCATCATCCCACAGAAACATGATGGCACACACACACACACCATTACTCATGCACTTAGCTATCATATGTATGAAACAGTGATGGAATACATGTCTCCAAACAAAATTTGTATGTTTGTTTATTTCCCATGATAGTAGCATTTGAGCAGCCTACAGACCAAACTATATGTAAATCATGTACAAAATAAAACATCATAATTACCAGAACTTATAGTTAGGGCAGGCTATTCTATGGTCAAAGAAAGAAAGACACCAACTGATACTGTAGACTTTGCTGACTTAAATTATAAGTTTCAGTGTTGGTGTTCAACAGAGGGACTGAAACTCAAACTGGGCCCTATTCAATCAAATACAATATAGTTTATCTGGGTAACAAGTCAACATTCCTCTTGCACTATGAAATGTTTGTTCCAGTTGCATCTACATTTATAAAGCAATAATCAAATGTAGCACAAATAAAATCATATTTTATTTCTAACTTTTTTCTATTCAAACTGTAACCTAACTTATCCCAATTCAAACATGCAATCTTGCAGCACAAGCAGCTGTCATGCCTATCCTGGTTATCCAATCATGATCAAATCACAGTGTGTGAACTCAAACCCACTGATATAAGCCAGACGTCATGGACCCCTGTGGTATGTGCAGAGGAACTTCCTATCTGTATAGTGTAAAGGTATCATCACTGTAGGCAAGGCTACAGCTCTCGGCTGATAGCTAAATTCACAGTCACCCCTCACCTGTATGAGAGTACAGTACAGTGGAGATAGGCAGTGCGTTACACCACCTTGGCCACAGATGGAGGCTCCATAAACCCTGATGTGGCATAGAGCAGAACCAGGGGTCCAGGTAATGAAGAGAGACAGACCAGTGGTATCTGGATGTGAGATCTTAAGGATATGCTGGTATGGCATAGTCATGACCCTACACCAGGGTTCTTCAATTCCGGTCCTGGAGGGCCGAAACACTTCTGTTTTTTATTTCTACCTGGTAGTTAATTGCACTCACCTGGTGTCCCAGGTCTGAATTAGCCCCTGATTAGAAGGAGAGGATGAAAAACAGAGGTGTTTCGGCCCTCCAGGACCGGAATTGAAGAACCCTGCCCTACACTCTAAGTGACTAGATAGCAGCTCTAGTCATGTAATTAGCAGGGTGAGGTGAGTACTGTATTGTAAGGTCAGGGGAGGCATGATATGGTATAGAGATTTCTCTGCTATGCACATAGTATCTCTGTTAGTTTCTCTGTGGGGCACATACACACATTCAAACATTCTGAAAATAACCTTTTTCTAAACAGTTCTGTTTCTCTACACAACAGGATGCTGTTTTTATTTTATTTTATGTGTGCTAGAGACGGCTATATCGGCCTGCTAATACAAGACTGGTAAAGGCCCAGCTCTTCTTTTGTGTTTTTTAAAAAGATTTTCAGGGGGTGCTGCAGCACCCATACTTCCCGCAGCTATATTAAAATAAAATAACTCCTCCTTACCATAGAAGTGGCCCACTGCCAGTTGGCATACATTCGGAAGGAAGTGAGCTGAATAGTTTAGTGGACGTATAATTAGACAACTTTGATACTGCTGTCAGTACTCAAGAACGCAAAACTCATTTTTGACCTTACAAACATGTCTGACTGTTTTGTCTGTTACGTATGACGTTGTGCAACGTCGTCGTACGCGCCGGTTGACTGTTAAATTTCGCGGGAGATATCTATGCTATGCTCTTTGGAAAGCCCAAACTCTTTTCTCTCAACAAATAAACGTGCATTTCAACAAAATCGCATTTTTGTCACGAATAAAAGGCCAATAAAGGTAAAGTAAAAACTTTATTTAACGTTTCTGTTTTCGCAGGACGTTGTTTTTGTTGACAAAAACAAGAAGTTAGCAGCTAGCTAATGAACGCTAGCTAGCTAATTGTAGCTACTAGCTAGCTAATAACCACACTCACATTTGCAGATCACGTTACAATCGTTGTAACAATGTAATTATTAATGATCTGATTCGAGGTTTAGTTAGCAGTTGTGGAGAGGGCATATGGACTGTATTTAAGCCCTGTCCAAACTACCGAAACTAGCAAGGCTACCGTGCTCATTACAGCTGCAATGCGTGATCCCATATCATGTGTTTGTGTGTAATAACTGTCTCCCTCCTAACTGTCGCCCCAGGCAGCCATGTTCTCTGAGGTAAGCGCCCCTCGGGAGGGATCGAGTTCTCTTCTGTTGTGTCGTCCTGGCTCTGAGGACCCGGAGCCCTCTGTGTTTGACAGGGTCCAGCCGGCTTACTCACCATGCGCTGAGCGCTTCAAGCTGGGGGAGCGCAGCTTTAACCGCCAGTATGCACACATTTACGCCACACGACTCATGCAGATGAGCCCCCTGCTCACGGAGAGGGCCCAGCAGAAATGGGGTACGTGACACCTAGCTCTCCAATTTGCTGCAACAGTTAATACACCAATACCTTAAGAGTAAACTCTGTCCGGACTCTCTCCCTGTCAGGTGCAGATGTACGGGTCAGGAAGCTGTGTGATCTGCAGATGGGTGAGCAGTGTTGCATTGTGGGAACCCTGTTCAAGCACATGGAGCTGCAGCCATCCATTCTGAAGGAGATCAGTGAGGAAGTGAGAAGTTGCTGCCATAGAATCAGACTTTGATTGTCATGAAACATTTAATGCCAACATGGGGGATAGTTTGCCAAAGTCTGTATACTGGTTCTGGTAGTAACTCTTCAACTACATCTCTCTCTCTCTCTCAGCACAACCTGCTGCCCCAGCCTCCGCGCACCAAGTACATCAGCGAATCAGATGAGTTGATACTGGAGGACGAGCTGCAGAGGATCAAACTAGAGGGCAATATTGACGTGGAGAAGTTTGTCACAGGTTTCTGTCTCCTCTGTACCTTCTACCTATTGTATCAGGATAGACAAGTTTGTCTCAGTTCTCCTGATCATGTAATTATGACCACCTCCTTTGTTTTGTTGTTATTATTTATGTTTCTCTCTCTCCTTTCTCACTCTTAGGTAGTGTTATTGCTATTTACGGTGCAGAGAAGAATGATGGGAAATTCACAGTGGAGGATTTCTGTACTGCTGACCTCCCCCCGCAGACCCCCAGAACCACCCTCAGCTCAGACAGGTACACAGGCCACCTAACCTTGTGAAATGTCAAACTTTAATAGTGTTGTCACAATACCAGTATCAGTAAAGAAACAAAATGGGAAGCGGACCTCAATTCTAGAGGAAAACAGCTTTTATGTTGTCACCCAGAGTCACATTTGTTTGTTTTACAAGCTATATCACACAATATTTAACAAAAGTAGGTTTTAAAGGACCATAGAGTTTAGTCTGCTTTGCCAAGGAAAATGTGTGATTGTGACAACACTAAACTGTAATATATTCTGTTGTGTGTAGGTTTGTGCTCCTGTTGTCAGGTTTGGGTCTGGGCGGTAGTCATGCAGACAGTATGCTGGCTTTACAGCTGCTTGTTGACATGGTAACGGGTCAACTAGGTGACCAGGGGGAGCAGAGTGGTGCGGCGACCATCTCCAGGGTCCTACTGGCCGGGAACCTTCTGAGCCAAAGCACACAGGACAAGGACGCATCCACCAAGGTGAGGGGACTTATTTAGCTGTGACACCAATTCATTTAAGTTGAGGAGGAAGGGAACTATTACCATAGCTTACACTTATCAAATCCTTTCAGATATAGTAGAAGTGTCTTGACCTAGAGGCTACAGGTTAATTTTGAACTGTCCAGTGTGTGTATGATGTTTTCCTAACTGTATATTGTCCCTCCAGGCTAAGTACTTGACTAAGAAAACCCAGGCAGGCACTGTGGATGCCATGCGTCTGCTAGATGAGATGCTGATGCAGCTGGTGGTGAGTTCCACCTACACCTGGGATGTCACAGCCTAGGCAATATTTCTATAGTTTGCCATAGAATGTGCCATTCATTCAACATTAAATTATCTGAAGTGTGTGTGTGTCCTCCTCTCCTTTAGGCATCAGTCCCAGTGGATGTGATGCCGGGCCAGTATGATCCTACTAACTACACCCTGCCCCAGCAGCCCCTACACCACTGTATGTTCCCCCTCTCCTCCACCTACCCCACCCTGCAGCTGGCCTCCAACCCACACCAGGCCACCCTGGACGGGGTGAGGTGAGTCTCAACAACCCTGGGGCTGCTGGACCTAGGGCTTAGAAACATTTTGTTTGTTTTGACCAACTTCACAAAAGCATTCTCTGTGCAAGAGTAATGTGGCCACTATTTTCAAGTGGGATTTGTATTGCCATAACCTTTTGCATTAAGCTAGCTAATGTATTTCCTGATGCCCTTTGTACTACATAAACTCAGCAAAAAAGAAACGACCCTGTCTTTAAAAGATAATTCGTAAAAATCAAAATAACTTCACAGATCTTCATTGTAAAGGGTTTAAACACTGTTTCCCATGCTTGTTCAATGAACCATAAACAATTAATGAACTTGCACCTGTGGAACGGTTGGTAAGACACTAACAGCTTACAGACGGTAGGCAATTTAAGGTCACAGTTATGAAAACTTAGGACACTAAAGAGGCCTTTCTACTGACTCTGAAAAACACCAAAAGAAAGATGCCCAGGGTCCCTGCTCATCTGCGTGAATGTGCCTTAGGCTGCAGCAAGGAGGCATGAGGACTGCAGATGTGGCCAGGACAATAAATTGCAATGTCCGTACTGTGAGACGCCTAAGACAGCGCTACAGGGAGACAGGACGGACAGCTGATAGTCCTCGCAGTGGCAGACCACGTGTAACAACACCTGCACAGGATCGGTACATCCGAACATCACACCTGCAGTACAGGATGGCAACAACAACTGCCCGAGTTACACCAGGAACGCACAATCCCACCATCAGACTGTCTGCAATAGGCTGAGAGAGGCTGGACTGAAAATAAATGCAGTTGACATTGAGAGGACGTTTCTTGTTTTGCTGAGTTTATATGTGCTAGCTAGATTTAAGTTGTGTTGTGTATGTCATGTGAAGTTGTCTGTGAGGAGCCAATGCAAAGGTCTTCCCTGTGTGTCCCTGTGGTGTTGCCGTAGGATCCTGGGGACATCGGGGCAGAATGTAAAAGACATCCAGAAGTACAGCAGCATGGACAGTCACCTGGAGATACTGGAGAACACACTGAGGCTTAGACACCTTGCCCCTACTGCACCTGACACACTGGGTAAGAACACACACACTTTCTCTCTCACTCTCGCCGGTTATACAGACTAAGGTACATGGCTTATCTCTTGTTGTTCTCTCAGGTTGTTATCCGTTCTACCTGAAGGACCCTTTCATCCTGGAGGAATGTCCTCATGTCTACTTCAGTGGCAACGCCCCCTCCTACCAGGCCAAACGCATCACAGGTGAGTCCCCACCGTTACTGGAAACTTGGCATGACTGTTTATTCACATTGCAGTGTACTGGTCCAGATTTCCACAATGATAGTTGACAGTTGCCGGTCCTTTCTACACTGAACAAAAATATAAAAGCAACATGCAACAATTTCAAAGATTTTACTGATTTACAGTTCATATAAGGAAATCAGTCAATTGAAATAAATTCATTAGGCCCTAATCTATGGATTTCACATGACTGGGAATACAGATACCTTAAAAAAAGGTTAGGGTCGTGGATCAGAGAACCAGTCAGTATCTGGTGAGACCACCATTTGCCTCATGGAGCGTGATACATCTCCTTCACATGTAGTTGATCAGGCTGTTGATTGTGGCCTGTAGAATGTTGTCCCACATTAGGGCTGTGGTGGTCATGACATTTTGTCAGCCGGTTATTGTCATGCAAAAGTGGCCTGTCTCATGGTTATTTACCGTTAATTAACATAAGCACGTTCAGCATCTCCAGGCCTCCACACATACAAGCCGCTGATGTGCGCCTTTGGAACAGCTACATAAAAAAAAGTCTTAATAAACTAATTTAATGTACACCATCACAATAAATCCATTATTTATTTGGGTCAGGTCTGAAGAAAATATACACTACATAACCAAAAGTATGTGGACACCTGCTCGTCGAACATCTCATTCCAAAATCATGGGCATTAATATGGATTTGGTCCCCTTTTGCTGCCTTCTGGGAAGGCTTTCTACTAGATGTTGGAACATTGCTGCGGGGACTTGCTTCCATTCAGCCACAAGAGCATTAGTGAGGTCAGGCACTGATCTTTGTATTTCAGGTGAATAGAATATGAGTTGGCAGACTGTAGGCCTATGTTATCTGGCTATGCATCATGCTGTAGGCTTGTTCATTTAGCTGAAAAAAATATGCTTGTAAGTCCCATGCCATTATTTTATGATTTTCTTTAGTAAGAAGAATATAATTGTACTTAGCTGAATTAAATAGAAAGGATATTTTTTCCATTACAGAGCGAGTGCACATATGAAGTGACTATGTTGAGCATAAAAGGGATAATTTGAAACTGGTCCTATATGCTAGATTTAGAGTTATTTGGCAACTTTAGTTGTGAACGATACACACCTTTTATGTCTTAGAAATCAACATATATGGACTGCATGGTGCGACTATAGACTATTGATGATTTGAGAAAGTAGCAAAAAAAGCTTGTGCTCTGTTCCTTGCCTCAAGCTGCACAGCTGTTCTCTCAGTAAGTGATCATATTTTCACCCATCAGACTATTCTCCAATTTCAATCTTGTCTTTACTAATATGTAAAATTAGTTTACATTTAGAATGGCCCATTATCAAAAGGGCAGGGGAAAAATACATGTATGCTGTAGAATAGCGAATGGAGACCGTGTGCTTTCCCGCCTGTCCGTTTTGTAGGCTACTTCGGTTTTATAGCGTAGTTGTGCTTAATATGAGCAGCTGAAAAATAGATATAAGAACACTTATTTCACTCCACGCATCAACCGCTGTTTGAGGCGCATGCTCTCGTTGCCTGACTGGTGATATTCCGCCCAAACTCTGTATGCCATGGGCTCTCCAACCTTATTCCTGCAGCTACCCAGTGCTTAATTTGGGAAACCAAGTGAAATCTGTTCGGGAACATCGATAGTAACATGTTTTCGCAACAAAACCTATATTTCACTAAACTGTTGACAGCCCGTCTGCTAGCTCGAGAATGGAATATAGGAGAGCAAGGAGGAGATGGAAACGCATGGTGGTGAGATTCTGTATAGCTAAAGGTAATGTAACCCAATTAATTAAGAAAATATAAAAAATGCCTTATTACTAGGCTATTCAAAAAAAAATACAAATTCAATATAATCGTAGGCAACAGCAAGCCGCCCTGCACAATCAATGAACCAACAGCATCGCCTAGGGCTATACGTTCTCTCCCAGACTCATGGATAGAAATGTTGGTGTAGCGTAAGGTAACCAGTCCATCCAGTATGCATAATAATACAGTCCACACTCAAAAGGTGATTACTCGAATTCTGTTTGATTTTGGACTATAGGCTAGACCAATTATGTACCAAATACATCTTAAATCAATTTAGTTTTATGTTTTTCTGCGATGGTAATATGTGGTAGGCTATGTATTGTATAACGGCACAATCATCATTCTAATACAGGGTTTTCTGGGCTTGGGCTCATAAGCCTATGCATAAGCTCTAATACGCTTATGGGTGTCTTGAATTAATCATCACCTTAGAAAGTGCTGTCCATTTCGTTGTGTTAGGCTTTGAAACAACATCCACAACAACCATGTTTTACACTGTTTCAACCTGCTGTTGAACTAATTTCTTCAAATTGATCATCACAGTGAGGTGAGTTTTAAAAGTATGATAGGCCTACTGTTTTCATAAGTGTTTGATGTGATTTTTGATTGCATTTGCATTGATGTTAGAGGGACAATAGAGCCCTAAGTACCAGGCCATTAGGACCTGATGGTAGTTAGCAAGTTGGGTACTACCAAAGCATGTCCAGAGTGCATCAAAGGAGATTACAGTGACTCAACGGTCATGACTTCTGGTGTGGCGGTAATACAGTCACCACAACAGCCCTAGTCCCACTCCTCTTCAATGGCTGTGTGAAGTTGCTGGATATTGGCAGGAATAGGAACATGCTGTCATACACGTTGATCCAGAGCATCCCAAACATGCTCAATGGGTTACATGTCTGGTGAGAATGCAGGCCATGGAATGAGAATACTGGCCATGGAAGAAACTGGGAAATGTTCAGCTTCCAGGAATTGTGTACAGATCCTTGCAACAAGGGGCCGTGCATTATCATGCTGAAACATGAGGTGATGGTGGCAGATGAATGGCACGACAATGGGCCTCAGGATCTTATCACCGTATCTCTGTGCATTCAAATTGCCATCGATAAAATGCAATTGTGTTCGTTGTCCGTAGCTTATGCCTGCCCATACCATAACCACACCACCACCATGGTGCACTCTGTTCACAACGTTGACATTAACAAACCGTTCGCCCACACAATGCCATACACACGGTCTGCCATCTGCCCGGTACAGTTGAAACCGGGATTCATCTGTGAAGAGCACACTTCTCCAGCGTGCCAGTGTTCATCAAAGGTGAGCATTTACCCATTGAAGTCGGTTACAATGCCGAACTGCAGTCAGGTCAAGACCTTGCTGAGGACGACGAGCACGCAGATGAGCTTCCCTGAGACAGTTTCTGACAGTTTGTGCAAAAATTATTCAGTTGTGCAAACCCACAGTTTCATCAGCTGTCCCGGTGGCTGGTCTCAGACGATCCCGCAGGTGAAAAAGCCGGATTTGGAGGTCCTTGGCTGGTGTGATTACACGTGGTCTGTGGTTGTGAGGCCGGTTGGACGTACTGCCAAATTCTCTAAAATGTTGGAGGCGGCTTATGGTAGAGAAATGAACATTCAATTCTCTGGCAACAGCTCTGGTGGACAATCCTGCAGTCAGCGTGCCAATTGCACACTCCCTCAACTTGAGACATCTGTGCCATTGTGTTGTGTGACAAAACTGCACATTTTAGTGTCCTTTTATTGTCCCCAGCACAAGGTGCACCTGTGTGATGATCATGCTGTTTAATCAGCTTCTTGATAAGCCTGTCAGATGGATGGATTATCTTGGTAAAGGAGAAAAGCTCACTAACAGCAATGTAAACACATTTGTGCACAATTTGAGAAATCATATTTTTGTGTGTATGGAACATTTTCTGGGATCTTTTATTTCAGCTCATGAAACATGGGACCAACACTTTACATGTTGCATTTATAGTTTTGTTCAGTGTTCATTGTATGGAATCTTTTGCCATCTATACATGTTTTAGCAACTTGTGTGCTGTAGATAGATGCATTGGTGACATGGGGTGTCATCTAATGACCACTAACATGCCCCCCCCCCCCCCCTCCCCAGGTGCTGATGGTCAGGAGGTCCTCCTGGTGGCTATCCCAGAGTTCAGCAGCACTCAGACAGCCTGCCTAGTCAACCTCCGGACTCTGGAGTGTGAGCCAATCCACTTCTCTTCCTTCTCCGCTGGTGACGACGAGGAGAGTGAGATGAACATCAGCCACTGAAGGAGCAACACACACACTTACTCATACACTCCGTCCTCAGCCCATTCTCCTGGTCCTCAAATGGAATCAGGTTGTACACTATCAAAACGTTTGTAAAGAGTCTGCTGAAGTCTCTCGTTGGTTTCTCTTGATCTGCAAAGAGATAATTCATGTCACAAATATATAGTGAATATGATGCTGAGCAGTCATCCCAGTACTGTTTGTGTAGAAAGAAAGCTGTTGCTAATGATAGGTATGTGTGGCGTGAAAATGATTGTTATGGAACTTACTGTCTAAAGAAGTGCTTTGTTTCTGTGCCGGTGCCCATACTCCTGTATTTGTCAACACATGGTTTCCATTTTAGTATGGTAGACGATGACATGAAGAAAAACTAAACACATGCTGTAAGTAAATGAGCCTTTATTCATTGAAAAAATAACTTTCCTCAGCTAAGTAATGAGGAACATTTCAGAAAATCTCTCTTGATTTCTCGCTCAACCTTCAACTAACATTTTGTAAAGTTAACATTTAACATCTGTCGATATTATGGTTTTGCTGTCATGGGTGAAAATAATGTAAATAAATCCACACTTTTATAAGAAAAAGAGAAACTTTCATTCTTTGTTTTGACTCTTCAGGGGCGGAGGTGGTGGTAAAAACAAGTTTAATTTCCAACCAGCACATCTACATGATCTCTGAAGTACATTCTCTAGGAAAGCTTCAAATTGAATTGGTGTCAACAGGCTTTCCCAGATATCAGTACTGACATTTTCATTTGTGTTAAACTTCGTATCAAAAGACCTACTCGAGCAGTTATACAGAACACTGACTGACTGTTTCTGTATTCAACATCATTGTTCCTTTTTGTAAATATACCTGAACACTTCATGTGGCCCTTTTGTAGATCTGAAAGAATGGAAGGGTTCATTCAGTAAATATAGGAGGGGGAGAGTCAATCTAGCCTACCAGAGTTATTGGATTTTAAGCATATCCAGTCCATTCAGATTTTCAAGGGGTCACTTAATTGTCCAGGAATTGAGTTAACAGTCTGGGCTAGACCTATGACAAATTGGTCCTGTTCAAAATACTTTAAAATGTATACTTCTTCCCTCCCTACCTTGATTACTTTAAGGAAGTGGGGAGGAAGGATGTATTGTAAATGTACTGGAACAAGACCTTGGTGTTAAGCTTAGTAATCGTCGATCTTGTACTCGTAGTTGTAATCCAAGATGGAGTCTGTGAAACCTTCTGGCGCTGATGTTTGCCCCTCTCCTATGAGCCACGAGTCGTACCAGGCAGTGGTGGGCTCCGCCTCTGTTGTCGTGGGAACCGGCGTGGTTGTCGGGGGCAAAGTCGTTGTCGATCTCATCAGTTTCTGTTGTCGTAGACGACGGAGGCGGGCGAGCCTCTGCTTTTGCTGGCGCATGCGACTCTTCTCAGGATCAATGGCGGCAGCGCCGTTGTTATGCAACACACGGCTGTTACCGTTCGAGGCTGTGTTCCGTCGTGTTCCGCCGTGGCTGAGCAGGCGGATGGGCTTGTTGCCGTGCAGGGCCATGATCTGGTGATGAATAAATAGCATTTATATAATGCCTTATTGGCTCTCAAAGGGCTAATAGGTAACCTTATTATAATTGTAGGTGTAACAGTCCCCACCTGTTTGATGCGGTCCCAGTTGGACTTGGCCAGGTTAAAGCTGCAGGTAGTTGCCCCTGGCTCGTAACCCACCACACACAGCTTGGTCAGGGGGGTGAAGCCTTCTGCCCGCACTGTCACACGGTACTCACCTGGGTTCAACAAGCGCCAGTAGTCCCCTGTTACAGCTGTGGAGGGAGAAGAGAGGAGATGGGTTAGACCGCACACTCAATGAGGATAGCAGGCTCCTGGAGTACTGTTGGTTTGTTCAGGGGGGGAGGGACAGCAGGCTGTTACCAACAGTGCTCTTATCACCTGAAGTTTCATGAATCTGCCAAAATGGCAACACTGATTTGTTGAGCGGTCATGCAGAGGGCAGTATGGTGCATGGCAGCCAGCTGTAGTGACATCATGGTTGACCCCCTCTACAGACACTGTACCCACCTGTAGTGACATGGTTGACTCCCTCTGCAGACACTGTACCCACCTGTAGTGACATCATGGTTGACCCCCTCTGCAGACAGTGTACCCCCCTGTAGTGACAATTATGGTTGACCCCCTTTACAGACACTGTACCCACCTGTAGTGACATCATGGTTGACCCCTCTATAGACACTGTACCCATCTGTAGTGACATCATGGTTGACCCCCTCTACAGACACTGTACCCACCTGTAGTGACATCATGGTTGACCCCCTTTACAGACACTGTACCCACCTGTAGTGACATCATGGTTGACCCCTCTATAGACACTGTACCCACTTGTAGTGACATCATGGTTGACCCCCTCTACAGACACTGTACCCACCTGTAGTGACATCATGGTTGACCCCCTCTACAGACACTGTACCCACCTGTAGTGACATCATGGTTGACCCCCTCTACAGACACTGTGGCATTAGCGATGGGGTTCCCCTCTTTGTCTTTCACCACGCCCCTGATCCCACGATGCACCTAGGTAAGGTGAAAATCAGGGGTCAAAAGATCACGGTCACTATACAGCCACTCCATGACTGGGTGTGTTTGGTAAATTGTGCGTTGGTGTGTGTGCGTACGTGTGTGTGTGATTACCTGCTCCATGAAGGTGAGCATAGCCTCTCTGTTCTTCTCCCACTCGATGACCAGCTCACTCTGATGGGGGAACTTATCACAGCCCAGGAACACTGACAGCTCCAGACAGTTAGTGTGCAGGTAGCTGAAGTCATTCATACCTGAGGACGGAGGAGGGAGAGATAGGAAGGGAGGAAGTGGAGGGAGGGATGGAAAGAGGGATGGAAGGAGAAAGGGATGAGGGAAAGACAGAGAAAGGTAATGACAGTCTGCAATGCAAATTATTGGCCACCAGAGAGTGGCGTTATCCTCAAAAGTGGGTACTTTACTCTGATGACTGACTGTTTCATTACACAGTTGAACTACTGAATGTAATGTCGACTAATGTCGACTATCATAACAAATTGCTCCCTGTACCCAAGAAAGCAAAGGTCACTGAACTAAATGACTATCGCCCCGTAGCACTTACCTCTGTCATCATGAAGTGCTTTGAGAGACTAGTCAAGGATCATATCACCTCTACCTTACCTGCCACCCTAGACCCACTTCAATTTGCTTACCGCCCCAATAGATCCACAGACGATGCAATCGCCATCACTCTGCCCTATCCCATCTGGACAAGAGGATTACCTATGTAAGAATGCTGTTCATTGACTATAGCTCAGCATTCAACACCATAGTACCCTCCAAGCTCATCATTAAGCTCGAGGTCCTGGGTCTGAACCCCGGCCTGTGCAACTGGGTCCTGGACTTCCTGATGGGCCGCCCCCAGGTGGTGAAGGTAGGAAACACCTCCACTTCGCTGATCCTCAACACTGGGGCCCCACAAGGGTGCATACTCAGCCCCCTCCTGTACTCCCTGTTTACCCATGACTGCGTGGCCAAGCACGCCTCCAACACAATCATCAAGTTTGCAGACGACATAACAGTAGTAGGCTTGATTACCAACAATGACGAGAGGAGGTGAGGGCTCTGGGAGTGTGGTGCCAGGAAAATAACCTCTCACTCAACATCAACAAAACAAAGGAGATGATCGTGGACTTCAGGAAACAGCAGAGGGAGCACCCCCCTATCCACATCGACGGGACTGCAGTGGAGAAGGTGGAAAGCTTAAGGTTCCTTGGCGTACACATCACTGACAAACTGAAATGGTCCACCCATACAGACAGCGTGGTGAAGAAGGTGGAACTGAGCCTCTTCAACCTCAGGAGGCTGAAGAAATGTTGCTTGGCACCTAAAACCCTCACAAACGTTTTCAGATGCACAATTGAGAGCATCCTGTTGGGCTGTATCACCGCCTGGTATGGTAACTGCACCGCCCGCAACCGCAGGGCTCTCCAGAGGGTGGTGCGGTCTGCCCAACGCATTACCGGGGGCAAATTACCCGGCCAAAAATATCATAAAGGACATCAACCACCCGAGCCACTGCCTGTTCACCCCACTATCATCCAGAAGGCGAGGTCAGTACAGGTGCATCAAAGAGAGACTGAAAAACAGCTTCTATCTCAAGGCCATCAGACTGTTAAATAGCTATCACTAGCACATTAGAGGCTGCTGCCTATAGACATAAACTAGAAATCACTGGCCACTTTAATAAATGGAACACTAGCCACTTTAATAATGTTTACATATCTTGTATTACTCATCTCATATGTATATACTGTGTTCTATACTATTCTACTGTATCTTAGTCCATATATATTCTTAATTCCATTCCTTACTCAGATTTGTGTATATTGGGTATATGTTGTGAAATTGTTAGATATTACTGCACTGTTGGAGCTAGAAGCACAAGCATTTCGCTACACCCGCAATAACATCTGCTAAACACGTGTATGTGACCAATAACATTTGATTTGATTTAATTAAATGGGATGTTGTCGGTTTGACTGTGTCCTCACTTCCTGTGACGGGCTTCCACTTGGCGCGGTTGATGATTCCGACGCCGCCAGTGATGTCATCGCCGTGACAGGAGCCGTGGGAAGTGTATGTCATCGACAGGTGAGTGGAGGCGTAGGAGATGGCCAACCACCTGATGGCCACACACACACACAAACACACACACACACACACACAGTCAGATGTTTTGGGATTCAAGTTAGGGTAATCTGATTCTATACCTGTGGTTAACTTCAGGCTACACACCTGAAAAAGGAGGCGTCTGCCGTGGCCCTGGGTTCATCCTCAGGCTCTGCGTCCTGATGTTCCCCCCTCCCTCTGTCATCCTCCTCTTCCTCTTCCCTGTGACCATAGCCATGCCCCCTCCACTCCTCCTCTGGCTCCTGGTATCCCCTGTTCCACTGGTCCTCTTCCGGCTGCTGGTATCCCCTGTTCCACCGGTCCTCTTCCGGCTGCTGGTATCCCCTGTTCCGCCGGTCCTCTTCTGGCTGCTGGTGTCCCCTGTTCCACCGGTCCTCTTCTGGCTCCTGGTGTCCCCTGTTCCACCGGTCCTCTTCTGGCTGCTGGTATCTCCTGTTCCACCGGTCCTCTTCTGGCTCCTGGTGTCCCCTGTTCCTATCATCTTCCTCTGGCTCCTCACGGTCGTAGCCCCTATCCCAATCTGTCCCTCTGTCATACTCGTCCTCGTACCTAGAAGAATGATTTAGATTTAGTTGATTGTTTATTTGGTTTCATTATTGCTCTGCCAAAAAGAGCAAGAGTGCAGGAAGAGAGAGAGAGAGAGAGAAAAAGAGAGGGAGAGAGGAAGAAAAGAGAGGGAGGAAAAGAGAGGGTAAGCGCCTCGTACTGTCTCTTCTTGCGGCTGTGTGCCCTGTCTCTCTCGCTGGCGCTGGCGGTCTTGGTTAGGCGGTGATTGTCATAGGGGTAGGCCACTACCCTCTCCCCTCCCTGGAAGTTGGCCCCCAGTACGAACGGGTGGCTCTCCATCCACGAGATGATGGCTTGAGTCTCCACAGCTATCTGCAGGACAAGAAGAACAAACAGCAGCTGTCATGTTGAGGTGATAGACAGAGAAAGAGGACTTGCTTGTACAGTCTCTGCTCTTCGCACCATCTACATGTATTTTCTTCCTTTTTCTCCCTCCTCTCCTGTCTTCATACCCTCCTTCCTTCCCTCCCACCCTCCCCCAATCCCCTCCCTCCCTTCACACACCTTGTCGTCCCCCACTGTGTCTGCAGGGATCTTGACATGATGATTGGGGGTCAGTTTGGGCACCATACCCTTGTCCTCTGCCTCCCACAGAACACTGTTCAGGTCAGGGAAGTTGTGGAAGATGTCATGGCCGTCCTCCGTCCAGTGGCCTGTGGTCCAACCACTCAGCTCTGAACCCTGTGGTGGCAACGGGACACAATGTTATGGAGAGAACCCTACAGAATGTCCTTACAGAACGTCTTAGGATTTGCTTGAATGTGTCTTGTCTTGTTTCAAATATCTTCTCTTAAGAAAAATAAAGATGGGTGCCAGACTGTTCCTGCATGCAACAATATTTGCCTACAACGACAGCAAGTTGGCGAAATCAGAAACTGTCTGGCACCTAACTTTATTTTTCTTTAAAGAAGAAGACATTTGCACACTGGAAGAGTAAGGAGGTACAGGTGGTATTTCGCTGTATAATGCCCAGTACTAACCGCTGTGAGGGCCTTCTCCTGTCCGTCAGGATTCAGCGAGGGCACCAGGTGGGTACGTATTCCCTCCACCAGGCGGCGCACTCTGGGGTTGCCGTCTTTGTACTCCTTACAAAGGTACTGCATCAGAAGAAGAACCATCTCCCGCCCTGTCGCCTCGTTTCCATGGAGACCAGCCGTGTAGCGGAACTCTGGCTCACCTAAGGGGGAAAAACACAGATCGTCATAGTCTTTCCATGCTAAAGAGGACACAAGTACAGAGCTTTCTGTGAAAGACACAGTATCTGTTTCCTCCCACCTATCTCGTGTTCTGTGGGGTTGCCTGATATCACCATGGCCACGATGTCTAGTCCATTGGAGCTGCGGCCCAGGCTGTACATACTGGTGATGTTGGGACACTCCTCAGACACAGACTTCATCAGCTATAGTAGAGACATAGTGGAAAGCAGAGGTCACCAACCCTGGTTCTGGAGACCTACAGTCTGTGCAGGACTTTGTTACAGCCAAACACATCTGATTTTAACCAATCATCAAAGTGTCAAGACAGTGTTGAAGTCATTTGTCACATTAGACCTGAATCCAGTTCATGCAGGTGGTACTCATGACCTTAACTGGGAGTGTTCCATCTCACCGTGACCATATCTGAGTAGTTGTGATGTCTGAAGTCCAGGTACTGGACTGGAGTCACCTCATTCTGCAGCCTTTGGTAAGCACTGGTGGGGTCTGAGGAGACATATGTGAGTGTGTTTGTGTGAGTGTGTTTGTGTGAGTTTTTTTTGTGAGTGTGTTTGTGTGTGTGTGTGACTCACCAGGCAGTGGGCATCCCAGCACCTCTAGCCTCATACAGCAACTGCCGTTCCAGCTCTTAGGGATGACTCTGATGTAGCGAGCTAGTATGGGCTCAGCTAACTGATTCAGCACTGGGGTGTCCTTATCAGAGTTACCAAAGAACAACTGGAGAGAGAGAGAGGAGAAGAGAGCGAGAGAGCGAGAGGAAGAGAGAGAGCAAGAGAGAGATAGGAGAAGAGAGAGAGAGGAGGTAAGAGGTAAAGAGATGGGGGGAGAGAGAGAGAGAGAGAGAGAGAGACAAATATAGGACTTAATGGCCAGACACAGTAAACATTTGCGCCCCATAAAGAGAGGATTAGAGTGAACCCTGGGAGCAAAGCATAATTTGAAACAGTGTAGCTGTGAGGCTAACAGACTCACCCAGTCAGAGTAACCGTCATTCATGGTTGTCCATTCTCTGCTGTCATTACTGAATTGCACATAGTATGATGTCACAAAGTCACTCCTGGAACACAAAGACACACACAAAGTTTTGTCACCATTTTATTAAATCTATGAAGATAAAACATGCGCTTACGTGTGTGTCTTACTCATTGCGTGAGTCTCGTCCTTGTGTTATGATTCCAGTAAACTCTGTTGCTCTGCGAGCGTCGATCTCAAACCAGTGAATCTTGTCCTCTTGGTTAGGACACCACGCCCCACCACGCATGTCCTCTTCCTCATCCTCCGAAGCCTGGAAACCATACAGTTTTGGAGATTAGGGGATGAGGGTTTACCCTTAGGGTTAGGGTTAATGTGTGAAGAGTTACCTTTAGGGTTAGGGTGAATGTGTGAGGGGTTACCCTTAGGGTTAGGGTGAATGTGTGAGGGGTTACCCTTAGGGTTAGGGTGAATGTGTGAGGGGTTACCCTTAGGGTTAGGGTGAATGTGTGAGTGGTTACCCTTAGGGTTAGGGTGAATGTGTGAAGAGTTACCTTTAGGGTTAGGGTGAATGTGTGAGGGGTTACCCTTAGGGTTAGGGTGAATGTGTGAAGAGTTACCCTTAGGGTTAGGGTGAATGTGTGAAGGGTTACCCTTAGGGTTGGGGTTCATGTGTGAGGCTTAATGTAAGTGTGTATGGGTTAAGGTTACAGTTTGAGGATGAGGGTGACCTGCATGTTGAGTCGTGCCCTGCCCTGGCTATAGCGGTAGTGAGACATGGAGGAGGCCAGCAGCTGGTCTGATTCTATCCTGTGAGACTCCATACCCAGTGGAGGACACTCTGCCACCAAGGGGAAAACATCTCAGTCACACACACTTCACAAACATTAATAACCACACTGGAAAACACAAGGTATGCTAATAGTTTCTGGAAACCGATTATCTCAAATAAATTGAAGTATTATACTAATCAGATTACAAAGATTGTGAATATGAAGATGACATGGAGATTATAAAGTAATTTCTTTTAATTGGATGGTAGTAGTTGACTTACTTTTGGGCTCTTTGAATACAGGTGGTCTCTTGGCTTTTTCCCTATCTTCCTCCTCCCTCCTCTGCTGAGCTCTCTCTGTTAAAGAGCACCCATAGTTAATCACTAACATACCATTCCAGTAATCGATTGTGTGTGTGTTTGTGTGTGTGGGTGTGTGGGTGCGTTAAGAGTATTGGGCCAGTAACTGAAAGGTTGCTTTTTCGAATCCCGAGCCGACTACATGAAACATCTGACAATGTGCCCTTGAGCAAGGCACTTAACTGTAATTGCTCCTGTAAGTCTCTCTGGATAAGAGCGTCTACTAAATAACTAAAATGAAAATGTGCCTGTGTATGCCTGCATATGTGTGTGGCCAAATGCACTTATGCCTCAGAGGACCTACATGCCTCTGGGTTCCTTTCTATCTCTCCAAATCCAGGAATGTGCTGATTAAATTCACATGATTTTTCTTTCATTCAGTAAATCTAAGACAGGCCGCAGCATATTCCCTAAGGAGGCAGACAGACAGACAGACAGGCAGACACAGAGAGACCGACAGACACACTGTACACGCTTGCACACACCTGTTTTATGACTGTTTCAGTTGAGTGATTTTGATCACAGACACTTTGTTAACCTTACTTTTAACCTCAAGGATCCCTAAAGATTATCCCACACTGAAAACGCAGTATATCTGTCATCCCTTGACTGGTTAATCCCACACAACGGATATCCCACATAGACAATGTTCCACATTCTGATTATACAGTTCTATGGTTCTAACCTCGTCACAGTGCAGGAGGTACAGAAAGAGACCGGAACATGTGGCAACAGCTGTTGGTTCTCATCCTGAATGTTCAGATCTTCATCTCTCCCTTTCTCCCTCACCTCTCTAATATGCTCCTCTGTTTCTATCCCTTATCTTGTTTTCTTCTCTTTTCCTCCATCGTTCCTTTTAGTCCTGTAACCTCTCTTGGTTGCCCCATCTCTCCGTCTTTCTCTGCTCCACTCCAGCTCATAAATAATTCAAAAAGTTATCCCATGCAACAGTACAAGTTATCACTCTACCCCAGGCCTTCCTTTCCTAACTTCCTTTACAACACATTTCTACGGTTGAGATTTGTCCTGTTCTGGAGAGAATAAACTTTTGTCCCTTGTCTGCAAATCTTAGCAAGTGAAGCCCAGGCAGAGACTAACATCTGTGTTTTCTTTCTATTGGGCTTTTAGTGGAACCGTGAACCACGTGGGACTGATAAATCTCCAGTACATGAATCTGTGAGTAACATGACATGTTCTATCTGTGGGTCATATGTTCATCTGATGGGAGCTTTGACAGTACAATGTTTGGCATTGCAGTGTTACTAAGTATTACTTGTTGCAATGTGTGGTTGTTTTACCTACCTTAATTGAATGCACTGATTGTTAGTCGCTCTGCATAAGAATTACCAAAAATATTTTTGGCTTACGGCTAAATTACCAAAATATAAATGTCATGTCAAATATTACAGTATGATGTGAAGCCTAGGATAGACGGACGGACGGACGGACGGACGGACAGACAGACAGACAGACAGACAGACAGACAGACAGACAGACAGACAGACAGACAGACAGACAGACAGACAGACAGACAGACAGACAGACAGACAGACAGACAGACAGACAGACAGATCACAGTCATTCAGATGATAATGAAAACATGCTGTGCGTCATACCTCTATCCTCTCTCTCCTTTTCTTTCCTTTGTCTCTCTCTCTCCTCCTCCTCCTCCTGTTTTTTCGCTGTGGTAAACAAAGGAGTGAAAAACTTTAATGGATGAATTACATTTACATTTTTAGTCATTTAGCAGATGCTCTTATCCAGAGCGACTTACAGTTAGTGAGTGCATACATTATTTTTCATACTGGCCCCCCGTGGGAATCGAACCCACAACCCTGGCGTTGCAAACGCCATGCTCTACCAACTGAGCTACATCCCTGCCGGCCATTCCCTCCCCTACCCTGGACCAATTGTGCACCGCCCCATGCGTCTCCCGGTCGCGGCCGGCTACGACAGAGCCTGGATACAAACCAGGATCTCTAGTGGCACAGCTAGCACTGCGATGCAGTGCCTTAGACCACTGCGCCACTCGGGACGAGGGTGAATCCATTTACCTAACATCCCCGTTACACGTAACAGTAAATACTGTGGGGTATATTCAGTGGGGTGATGTGAAACATTCAAAACGTTGCAGATAGAATAACAAACAGCTGTCATGATTCCCTATTCTATCTGACAGATAATCAATCATAATATGTGTACACAAAGCATTCTTGAACTTTTTCTTCATGTTTGCCACATAACCATAAACATGATAGTGTTTGAAGAAGGGTTTAATAATCTCTTGTCCTGACTGTTTTTATATTCCGTTACTTGGTCTTATTATTTGGCAGTTTGTAACATCAGCTGGCAAAGTATTGCTAAACCCAAACTTATGAAGAAAATAACAGACCATATAATTGAAACAGTCTGACAATTATACACTTCTCTTGTTCATTCTTGTGGGGAATGAGAGAGTGTAGGCCCATTACTTTGACTCTGTGGTAAAGGTCAAATTCTTTATTGTGTCTATCTAATCTTGAATTCACCGCAGGGTCCCATTGAAATGAAAAACATATTTATATTGGAGATTTGGCCAAGGCCTACGGTTAATGTTACAGTTCATTGTGTGTGCGTGCGTGTGTGCATGCGTACATGTGTACATACTCTGTCCACCACTATATCCGTAGTCGTACTCCTCGTACCATGGGCTTACATAGGTGGGTGGCGGTGTAACAGAGTCCTCTGTATCAGACGGAGAAAACACAACGTTAGAATAGTCTTAGTATACTGTAGCCTGGGTAGCACATTGTTTCTGCATTGATTCAGCAGTACCACCCCACTGGGCACAAACTGGTTGAATCAATGTTGTTTCCACGTCATTTCAACAAAAAAATTATATGTGATGACGTTGAATCAACGTGGAAAACTGATTGGATTTGCAAAAAGTCATCAACATAAAGACATTTTTAGAATGTTTGTCTTTTTTTTCACCCAACTTTTAACCTACTATAAATACAATGACAGGATTAAATGTTTTATTGATTTCACGTTGAATTAACGTTAGTTGACAACTCATTCAAATGTAAATCCAAACTATAATATAAATATGCCATTTAGAAGACACTTTTATCCAAAGCGACTTACAGTCATGTGTGCATACATTTTTGTGTATGGGTGGTCCCGAGGATCGAACCCACTACCCTGGCGTTACAAGCACTGTGCTCTACCAGCTGAGCTACAGAGGACCACTAGACATTGAACTGATGTCTGTGCCCAGTGGGACATAACTGCCCTGGCAAAACCACAGAAACCTGTCAGGTAGTACTATTCTCTTTTGACTAAACAACATCACAGAGAGACTCTCTTTGGTTTTATGTATGCTTTCCAAAGTTCTCTGAAGCTACAGCTATTTAACTAAAGGCCTTGATATTACAGTAATACAGTAATCTTCCAATACAGTGATGGTCAAATTTCTGTGAATGACTGACTGACCGCTTGAGTGAGATCAATTTATGTATTGATTGATTCATTGATTGATTTAATTATGTAAGTTACCTGTGACAGCGTAGCTCCAGTCATCTTTCTCTGTGGGGACGACCTCTTTACCGTCAGGGAAAGGAAGATTCTCGGGCACCTCGTCTGTTATTGGAGAACGGAGAGAGTGAGAGAGTTAGAGATTGAGAGAGAATGAGATAATGAGAGAATACGAGAATGAGAGAGTAAGAGATTGAGAGAGTGAGATATTGAGAGAATGAGAGTGAGAGACTGAGTGTGAGAGAATTACAGAGTGAGATAATGAGAGAGAATGAGAGAATGAGACAGAATGAGAGAATGAAAGAGTGAGAGAATGAGAGTGAGAGAGAATGAGAGAGTGAAAGAGTGAGAGAATTAAAGAATGAGACAGTGAAAGAGTGAGAGAATGAGAGAGTGAAAGAGTGAGAGAATGAGAGAATGAGAGAGCAAGATTGAAGAGAGTGAGTTAAAAGAGGAAGATGAGAGTGAGTTAAAAGAGGAAGATGAGAGTGAGGAAGGAAGGAGACGGATGAAGAAGTACGAGTAGAGAGGAAGAAGAGAAATTAGAGGATGAGAACGGAGAGAGATGATGGAGTGATAATGGAGCGAAATAGAGGGGTACTGGAGAGTAAGATACTGTAGGAGTGGAAATATGGAGAAATGGTAGAGTAAAACAGTAGTGGAAATATGGACACAGTAACGTAATGAAAACCTGTTGTAGCTATCACACAAAGTACAGATGAGCTGAGCTTTGCTATGAATGTCACTGACAGACCTTCACATGAGATGATCTTTCCATCATATGAGGTGGAAAACCTGACTCATTGGTTAAAGCAGCATTTCTCAAACTCGGTCCTCTGGACTCCAAGGGGCGCACGTTTAGTTTTTTGCCCTAATACTACACAGCCGATTCAAATTATCAAAGCTGGATGATTAGTTTAATTATTTTAATCAGCTGTGTAGTGCTGGGGCAAAAACCAAAACGTGCGCCCCTTGGGGTCCCGAGGACCGAGTTTGGGAAACCCTGGGTTAAAGACTCCAGGTGGCAAATATCATAATTTTTGGGTTTGATATAGAGAGGAGCTGGAGAAGAAATGCACAAGGCCAAATTGTTCAGCGTGTGCTGTTATAAACATATAAACTAATAGCTAGTATGTAAAATACTTTACTAACTACTTGGAAATGACTATTAAAGTTATTTCAAAATTACATTTTACAGGTGTTGATTTCTTTGTCCCATTCATTCATCCATCCATTCAGTCAGTCAGTCATTCAGTCAGTTATTTTAGGAAACTGAGGGTGAAACATACATTTAGCGTCCCAGTAGTCTTCATCTCCCGTGTCCACCTCTCCATCCACCACAAGAGTGGGGGGTGTGGCCGTCGGGTCCTCTCCATTCCAATAGTCATCTTCTGGGTCGACCACTGGGCCTGCAGGCTCCTCCTCCTTTCCTTTCCAGTAGTCGTCCTCTGAGTCGGTCTCTGGGGTGGCTGGCTTATCATCATCAGGGTTCCAGTACTCGTCCTCTGAGTCGGTCTCTGGGGTGGCTGGCTTATCATCATCAGGGTTCCAGTACTCGTCCTCTGAGTCGGTCTCTGGGGTGGCTGGCTTATCATCATCAGGGTTCCAGTACTCGTCCTCTGAGTCGGTCTCTGGGGTGGCTGGCTTATCATCATCAGGGTTCCAGTACTCATCCTCTGAGTCGGTCTCTGGGGTGGCTGGCTTATCATCATCAGGGTTCCAGTACTCATCCTCTATCAGAGGAACATGGGTCAGTAGATGTAACATTATTATTGTGGAGAAAATCCATATACTTTTCAATGGTAAAAATAAGATCAACATTTTGATTGGTATTAGAACACTGAGGCACCAGCTTCAGAGAAATTATGTGATAACATCTGCACTCACCGCTGTCTGAATAGGGAAAGTCTGGGTATGGGTCAGGTTCTGTGGGAGCTTCAGAGGGAACAGAGAGCACAGTCTTACAAACAACTTAGCGAATCACACAATACAAAGCATTTCATATCTAATTTACCAATTCTAGTCTGTCTTAAAGAACCGGTACGGTCAAAAATGTGATTTTCCTGTGTTTTATATATACAGTATTTACACACTATGAGGTTGGAATAATACTGTGAAATTGTGAAAATTACGATTTACTTTTAGCGTAAGAGCTGTTTAAAAACACTGCCTGAAATATCAGCCTGTTTAGGTTGGATGGAGTTTTGGCCTGCCAATTAGTTAATAAACCAATAAGAGTTCCAAACCTCTCTGCCAATAACACCTAATTGTCAGTTTCCCCTCCCCACTCAGAACACTCCCAGGCAGTCCTAGCAAAATTATTGCTTGAGAAATTGCTCTTTGCTAAGAAGCTGTTTTTGTTTCTTTGTGACCATTTTAATTGAAAACAATCACAGTAAGGTACTTAATTGTTACCCAGAAATGATTTGATACTGAGATGAAAACGTCTGTATTGGACCTTTAACTAGAGTGGTGTGTAACTAAATTACCTGGTTCTGTGTACACCTCTGTGGTAGTGGTCGGTGGTAGTGTGGTAGTGGTCGGTGGTGGAGTTGTTGGTGCTTCTGTCCGTGGCTCCTTGTCTTTGCCGCGGCGGCCTCCCTTCTCCTTCGGCTTTTTGGCTGCTTTAGACTCCTTGTTCTTCTTGTCCTTCTTGCCCTTCTTTTTCTTCCCTTTGCCATCCTCCTCTGGGGCTCTCCTGACCCGGGCTTGTAGATAGACGACGGAGCAATGGAAAGGGAATAAACTTGATCATGTTAACCCCTGAGGGCGCAATATGAGGCCTTACAGCATCTACCACTCCTATAGGCCTCACTAACTGTAAGTCGCTCTGGACGAGAGCGTCTGCTAAATGAATCAATTGTAAATGTAATGAAAATGTTAAAATTGATATGACAATATGGCATTAAAACAATGGCTATAAATCAACACCAACTTTCTGCTATGAGAGAGAGAGAGAGAGAGAGAGATAGAGCGAGAGAGAGATGGAAGAGAGAGAGAGAGAGAGAGAGAGAGAGAAGAGAGAGAAAGAGAGAGAAGAGAGAGAAGAGAGAGAGAGAGAGAGAGGGATAGTGAGAGATAGATAGGATATAGAGAGCTCTATCTCTCTATCTAGTATGAGACTCTACTCTCGATATCTCTCCTGCTCTATATCTCTCTTATCTCTCTCCTCTCTCTCTCTCTCTCTCTCTCTTGCTCTCTCTCTCTCTCTCTCTCTCTCTCTCTCTCTCTCTCTCTCTCTCTCCTCTCTTACTCTCTCTCTCTCTCTCTCTTCTCTCCTCTCTCTCTCTCTCTCTCTCTCTCTCTCTCTCTCCCTCTCGCTCCTCTCTCTCTCTCTCGCTCTCTCCTCTCTCTCCTCCTCTCTCTCTCTCTCTCATCTCTCTCTCCTCTCCGATATGAGGAGAGCCCGGTCCAGACAGGTGTATAACAGGAAGGGGGCTGTCTGCCAGACAGCATCACTAGCAGGGGGCACAACTGAGCTAACGTCTGGCAGACAGGCTGTGTGTGGCGGATGGGAGATGACGGTGTCCTGTGCAGAAGAAAGCCACTTTAATAAATGGAACACTAGTCACTTTAATAATCCCACTTTAATGTTTATATAGCATTACCCATCTCATATGTATATACTGTATTCTATACTATCTATTGCATCTTAGCCTATGCCACTCTGACAATGACATTGCTCATCCATATATTTATATATTCTTATTCCATTCCTTTACTTAGATTTGTGTGTATTAGGTATTTGTTGTGGAACTGTTAGATATTACTTGCTAGATATTGCTGCACTGTCGGAACTAGAAGCACAAGCATTTCGCTACACTCGCAATAACATCTGCTAACCATGTGTATGTGACCAATACATTTGATTTGATTAAAAGGCCACTCTAAAATGTGCCGTTTTTTCACACAGCACAATGCCACAGATGTCTCAAGTTTTGAGAGCGTGCAATTGGCATGCTGACTGCAGGAATGTCCACCAGAGCTGTTCCCAGAGACTTGAATGTTCATTTCTCTACTATAAGCCGCCTCCAACGTTGTTTTCGAGAATTTGGCAGTGTCCAACCACAGACCTCGTGTAACCATGCCAGCCCAGGACCTCCACATCTGTCTTCTTCACCTGCGGGATGTCTGAGACCAGCCACCCAGACAGCTGATGAAACTGTGGGTATGCACAACCAAATAATTTCTACACAAACTGTCAGAAACGGTGTCAGGGAAGCTCATCTGTGCCAAGGTCTTGACCTGACTGCAGTTCGGCATCGTAACCGACTTCAGTTGGCAAATACTCACCTTCGATGGCCACTGGTACGCTGGAAAAGTATGTCAGTTCTTCCATGGCCTGCATACTCACCAGACATGTCACCCATTGAGCATGTTTGGTATGCACAAGATCGACATGTACGAAAGCGCGTTCCAGTTCCCGCCAATATCCAGCAACTTCACACAACCATTGAAGAGGAGTGGGACAACATTCCACAGGCCACAATCAACAGCCTGATCAACTCTATGCGAAGGAGATGTGTCGTGCTACATGAGGCAAATGGTGGTCAGAACAGATACTGACTGGTTTTCTGATCCACGCCCCTACATTTTATCTGAATTCCCAGGGCCGGTCCTGGCCATTCCGCCGCCCTTGGCGAGACCAAAAAATTGCCTAAAAATACGTATTTTCCAGACGTTGAAATCAGGTTAATTTTCGGTTCTGAATGAAAGTTGAAAAGACTTAATTTATAGACGTCTATGTTTGGGCCAAATCAAGGCTGGTCTAGACCAGACAAAATCTGAACCAAACATAGACGTCTACGATTGGTTCAGATTCGGTCCGGACCAGACTAAAAACCAACGTCCATGGACATGGAACTCAAGGCCGGTCCAGACTGCACCAAAAAAAGACGTCCAGTCCGGACAGAACCAAAAAAAGACATCCAGTAGACGTTGACGTCGGTCCGTGCTTACTGGTGTGTAGCCTACCATGTCCATTCACTCATTTGTCACTGATATGGGGTAATAATAAAAAGTGGTGTAATAGCCTACAGTTTTATTGACATTTTGTTTTAATTATTGTGAATGGCTCATGTTTTATCTGCTACATGATTTATGTTAGATAATCTTTTGGACGGAACGTTGGTGGAGCGCCGCAGCGATGCTTCTCTCCAACAGAGAGGCGCGCTGAGAATAGACAATCAAAACATTTTGCGCCCCTGCCTTTCACAAAGTGGGAACTGCTTATCACAGGGCGGCATCAGCGATCACCTAAAAAGCCCAAATGCCACTGTTTGAGAGAAATTCACATTGTTTTTGGGCAGAATTATGTGAGGTTTCATGTGTTGTTGGAGGTGCATCTTGGTCAGTTTAGCTCAGAAAATGCAGCCCTCGTCAATCTGCCACCATAGGCAGCCGCCTAAATCTGCCTAATGAGCGGGCTAGCCCTGTGTATTCCCAGTCATGTGAAATCCTTAGATTAGGGCCTAAGGAATTTATTTCAACTGACTGATTTCCTTATATGAACTGTAACTCAGTAAAATCTTAGAAATTGTTGCTTGTTGTGTTTATATTTTTGTTCAGTGTAGTTACACAGTACCTACTAACTAAATGACCATGGAAATACAAGGTTTTAGTGCAACCCAATTTGGAAATGGGACTGATTCAACTAACAGGTGTGTGTGCTGAAGTTTACTCGATTTTAAGCTGTGAAACTCGGAAACAAATGTACTTTATAATTAGCACTTCATCATCATCTCTGTCTCAGAGCGTGATTCCTTCCACTGTAGAGCGGGGTTCTGTGGTCACTGTTCACCCATGATTACAGCACAGTCAGTGGAAAATTAAAGTTGAATATACAAATCTGTCTGCAAGATGCTCAGCTCAGAGCCCAGCCAGGTCTGTTACTGCAGCAGCAGACTGAATCTTCCCCAGTCTCAGTCCCAGTCCCAGTCCCAGTCCCAGTCCCAGTCTCAGTCCTAGTCCCAGTCTCAGCCAGGTCTGTTACTGCAGCAGCAGACTGAATCTTCCCCAGTCTCAGTCCCAGTCCCAGTCCCAGTCCCAGTCCCAGTCTCAGTCCTAGTCTCAGTCCTAGTCCCAGTCTCAGCCAGGTCTGTTACTGCAGCAGCAGACTGAATCTTCCCCAGTCTCAGTCCCAGTCCCAGTCCCAGTCCCAGTCCCAGTCTCAGTCTCAGTCCTAGTCCCAGTCTCAGCCAGGTCTGTTACTGCAGCAGCAGACTGAATCTTCCCCAGTCTCAGTCCCAGTCCCAGTCTCAGTCCCAGGTATACTTTGCTCTGCTCTACTCTGCTCTGGTCTAGGCCAAGAGAAATGGTCCAGATGGGTATGACGAAAGACAAAAGGAACACCTACGTGAGAATGGTGTTCATTGACTACAGCTCAGCGTTCAACACCATAGTGCCCTCCAAGATCATCACTAAGCTAAGGAACCTGGGATTAAACACCTCCCTCTGCAATTGGATCCTGGACTTTCAGATGGACGTGGTGAAAATAGGCAAAAACAACTCCGCCACGCTGACCCTCAACACAGCGGCCCCTCAGAGATGCGTGCTTAGCCCCCTCCTGTACTCCCTGTTCACCCACGACTGCGTCACCAAGCACGACTCCAACACCATCATTAAGTTTGCCGACGACACGACGGTGGTAGGCCTGATCACCGATGACGATGAGACAGCCTATAGGGAGGAGGTCAGAGACCTGGCAGTGTGGTGCCAGGATAACAACCTCTCCCTCAACTTCATTAAGACGAAGAAGCTGATCGTGGACTACAGGAAACGAAGGGCCGAACACGCCCCCATTCACATCGACAGGGCTGTAGTGGAGATGGTCAAGAGCTTCAAGTTCTTCGGTGTCCACATCACTAAGGTCCTATCATGGTCCAAACACACCAGCAGTCGTGAAGAGGGCACGGCAAAGATTTGTCATGAGCCCTCAGATCCTCTAAAAGATATACAGCTGCACCGGGCGGCAGGTAGCTTAGTGGTTAAGAGCGTTGTGCCAGTAACCGAAAGGTCGCTGGTTCTAATCCCCGAGCCGACTAGGTGAAAATTATGTTGATGTGCCCTTGAGCAAGGCACTTAACCCTAATTGCTCCTGTAAGTCGCTCTGGATAAGAGCGTCTGCTAAATGACTAAAATGTATTGAGAGCATCTTGACTGGCTGCATCACTGCTTGGTATTGGCGTTACAGAGGGTAGTGCGTACGGCCCAGTACATCACTGGGGTCGAGCTCCCTGTCATCCAGGACCTCTATACCAGGCGGTGTCAGAGGAAGGCCCTACAAATAGTCAAAGACTCCAACCACCCAAGTACAGTCTGTTCTCTCTGTTACTGCACGGCAAGTGGTACCAGAGCGCCATGTCTGGGACCGAAAAGCTTCTACCCCAAAGCTGAACAGTTAATCAAAGGGCTACCCGGACTTTCTGCTTTTCACCCCTACCTACATGTACATAATACTTCAATCAATCAATCACCTAACCAAACCTACATGTACATATTACCTCAATAAATCATCCCAACTACCTCGTACCCCAGTACACTGACTCGGTACCGGTACTCCTTGTATATAGCCTTGTTATTGTTATTTTATTGTGTTACTATTTTCTTTTTATCTATTTGCTAATTGTCTTACTTTTTAACTGCATTGTTGGGAATGGGCTCGTAAGTAAGCATTTCATGGTTAAGTGTACACTTGTTGTATTCGGCGCATGTGACAAATAAAATGTGATTTGATTTTGTGAGCTGGAGACAAACAGGTGAGAGTGGTGTGTGTGGTGTATGTGTGTGTGTGTGTACTGTTGGACAGGTCATAGTGACTGAACAGTGCCTGGGTAATTCAGGAAACCGACGGCTTCTTTCCAAACCAACGCTCTCCATTCATCTTCCTCCTCCACCTGCCCTGTCTCCTGTGCCTTATCCCCTGTCCTATGTGCCCTGTCCCCTGTCTGACGATGTAACATCATGTTCTCCAGTCCTGCTCCTGGAAGGAGGCATCTGTTCCAGCCCAACAACCAGACGATGTAGATGATTTTACTATTAATGGTTTGATCATTAGTTGATAAGGTATGTTATTGCTGGGCTGGAACAAAGGCCTGCACACCCTGTGAGTCTCCAGGACTAAGATATAAGAACACTGGTGTAATTGTTTCCAAAACAGTTTTTTTCTTGAGACCCACCAAGTAGATAAAACCATCCATGTTTCTAGCCACAACTCAATTGGGACCTACCAGTGGGTCCTATCTCTACACTTAGTAACATGTATTATAATAGGTACGTTGGCTTTGTTCTTACCTGGTACGGCTTCTTCCTCTGTGGCTCTCTTTGCCTTGCCAGTCTGCCTTTGTGTTTCTGTGAGCTCCTCTTCTTTAGCCGGCTCATCCTGGGACTCCTCTCCATGTAGGGCCTCCATTCCTCCGTCCATCCATCTCTTCTCCACAGCCTGGCCTATAGAGACTATGCCTCCTGCGCTCTCCCCTCCTCTGAGCAGTAGCACACCGCATAGGGCCAGCAGAACCGAACACACCACTGCAGTATGACCCCCCATCCTCCCTACTTACAGTACCTGCCTCAGAATTCTACCTCAATGTTCCACAAAATACTTCTAGCTCAGTGTTCCAATCAAGTATTCCACCACAGTATACTACTTCAGAATTCCAAAGTTCTTGCTAAAAGTTCCAGCTCAGAACGTTACTCAGAAATTCTACCTCAGTGTTCTAAATCAGTATTCTACTAAATAATTCTACCTCACCAAAACACCTCACTGTTCTGTCTCAGTATTCTACTCTGGTGTTCCACACCTTCACTCTAGTGAGGAATATTCTGGAGCACCATGCGTACTGCAAGCCAAAGCCAGACCCAGACTCACTCAAAGCAGGGAGGGAGGGAGGGAGGGAGGGCAGCCCAAAAACAATGGCTGAGGGAGAACGAGAGAGAATTCCCTTCACCTGGCTGACGAGTTGGAATGGGTATAGTAATCAAAAGGAGATCTCAGCACAGATTGAGCAGAGCAGTTCACTGGAGAAGCCAGGAGAGGGAAGGAAGAATCCAGGTTGGCTCTATAGAGGTGAAAATAGAGCTTAGTCCTGTAGCAGAGTGCTTCTTCCAGTTCTTCCTCCACTGCCTGCTCTTCCCTCTGCAGACTGCCACAGAAAGGCAGGAATGGAAAGGCTCCCAGGACACTGGATTCCAGAAGAGGAGAGGGGGAGGGGAAAATAGTGGAAAGAGGGTGGGGGAGGACAGAATGTGAACCCCACAACATCTGTGGACTCATGGAGTGGACTTAGTTCAAAGCAAATGAAAACAACAAGGAACAGAATAACATATTCCACCTCAAACTGGATATATATATTTTTTTTATTAGGAATGTCCGGCTCTCCTTACTATCCAGATTTCAGAGGAACTGCAGCATTCTTTCCTTAGGATGTAGCTTAGCAAACTCTCCCATTAGTTTGAAGGAAAACTCATTCCCAGCCAAGGAGAAACACACACACATGCCTGAACACACACACACACACACACACACTGGGGAAAACTATTTGAGCAGATGACAGAAGTTTGCCCTTTTCGGGGCTTTGTGTTTCCTTTGCTCGGCTGTCTGTGGCCTCCCCCAGAGTCCTGAGTGTGTGTCAGCAGTGAGAGTTAGAAGTAATCTCCACTCCAGTACTTCGGTTTAACGGAGACGGATCAACTGGAAAACAAACTGAATGTGCAAAAGATATGCAGCCACTGGAGGAAGCTTAAATGGAAAATTCTTCATCGTTAAAAGCCAACATCTTTTTCAGCACTAAATTCAGCATGCGGAGAAAAAAAAAAAAAAAAGTTACAAAAATAAATCTGATTCTAAGCAGGATTGTTTAGATGGTGAGTAGTAGTAGTATCTCTTGAGATTTGGCCAAAAGGGCTTATTTGAAAAATGTGTTTAGAGTTATAACCCACAAATCAAGTTATAAGCATCTGGATGGAAATGACTCAAAGTGAGTAAGAGGGATTTGTTTTTGTCCAAAGTACACTGATTCAAGTCTATCTTCCCTTATGCATCACAGGTTGATGTTTTTATATATATATATAGAGAGAGAGCATTTCAAAATTGTGTCATATTGTAACCTGGACACAGGGGTAGACGTAAACGGAAAACCAGGACACCCATAGTATGATGTGTTATGTTTGGTATGTATTAATTTGTGGATGTTCATCATTCATTTCGTATGATATGTTACGTATTCAAATTCCTAACGTTAGCTAGGTGCCTAGATGGCTAACGCTTACATTAGCTAGGCTAGGGGTTAGGGTTAGGGGTTAAGGTTAGGAGTTTGGTTAAAGGATTAAGGTTAGGGGAATGGTTAGCTAACATACTAAGTAGTTGCAAAGTTGTTAATTAGCTAAAATGCTAAAGTTGTCCGTGATTCGAACACGCAACCTTTGGTTTGGTAGACATTCAAGTTATACGCCTACCCATCCACTCCGACCAACCACCCTCCTTTCGTTTTTGCCTTAAGTAACCTTCTGTCTTTTGTAACCATACCAAACGTAATATATCATACTAATTTGAGTGTCCTGGATTTTCATTTACTATGTTACGTCTAGTCTATGAGACCAGCCTGCATATTACAAAACTAACCCCATATGTCAGTGACCTCAGTGCTAAACTCTTTTCACAATCCCCAATAAACACACACATTTTGTCTGCATTAACAGTAGTGCTCCCATGACACAGTTTATTACCAACAAGCTGTGATGTTGGGGGATAAGGGTAGGACAAACATTGCAAGTACATGAGGACCATGCCACACGGTAGAGGAACAATTTATATTGCTCAGATGCCGTATTGACCTTTATTCCAGACAAGCATGAGTTTAATGTGTGTGTGTGTTTAATGTGTGTGTGTGTGTGTGTGTGTGTGTGTGTGTGTGTGTGTGTGTGTGTGTGTGTGTGTGTGTGTGTGTGTGTGTGTGTGTGTGTGTGTGTGTGTGTGTGTGTGTGTGTGTGTGTGTGTGTGTGGATGTGTTTAAGTATTCTTGTGGAGACAAGAAGTCCCCACAAGAATAGTAAACAAACAAAAATTTGACCAACTGGGGACATTTTGTTGGTCCCCACAAGTAGGGGGTTAAGATTAGAATTGGGGTTAGAATTAGGTTTAGGGTTAGGAGCTAGGGTTAGTTTTAGGGTTAGGGTTAGGGTTAGATTTAGGTTTAGGGTTAGGGTTAAGGTTAGGTTTTTGGTTTAAGGTTAGGGTTAAGGTTAGGGTAAGAGTATGGGTTAGGGTTAGGTTTAGGGTTAGGGGTTAGGGAAAATAGGATTTTGAATGGGACTGAATTGTGTGTCCCCACAAGGATGGCTGTACAAGACTGTGTGTGTGTGTGTGTGTGTGTGTGGATGTGTGGATGGAGATGACTGTGCTGTTACACCTGATAGATGACTAGGTGATGAGTTGTGAATCCTACTACTGTAGCATGTCTGAATAAACCATCTCATCTCTGTCATTTTTATACAGACACACACACACACACACACACACACACACACACACACACACAGCCTTAAACACACACTAACCTCCCTGAGTGATGAAGTAATTCACTTTGCTATGGGATTATAATGATGAAAGAACTACATGTGTTTGTATTTAGAATTTTGTGGTCGCACATTGAGATTCGTAGTTGCAAGTACGATTTACAAATGTGTAATTTAATTTTGCAAGCTGCCCACTCAAGAAAATGTGTGAAAGATTTAACAATGGTCGCAAACTTGTAACTTGACATTTCAATACATTCAATAAGATTTGCAAGTATAATTTATTTTCAGAATTATTACAAGTCCATTTATGAGTATGAATATTCTGCTGTGAACCAAAATTATACTTGCAGATTCTGAATCTGCGTGTGATTGGAGTTCTGTTACTGTTGTCACGTTACCAAGAGATTCATAAGTTTGTAAAATGTTTTGTACGTTTGTAGAAAGATATTGCAAGTGAAAATGTGATTTGCGCTCTGGGGGCAGGACCTTTTACTCCTGACCAATCAGTTCCCTCTGCCAAAACTACAACTGCCTAACCATTGGCTTGATTGTTCCATCAATCAAATCTCAGGAAGTAGCTCCCCACATGAGAAAGAGAGGATGAGATAAATTAAACGAAAACTATCTACTTTAAAGTAATCGTCTCTTTTATCTGTGTTCATCTATTTTTGTTGTGAAAGGGCATGACAGTAGCTTGCTTATCATGTGAAATATAATGGTACATACAACTCCAGAACAGCCATCGCATTGACAACCGCTATTGCGTTAGCTAGCTGGCCTCTGACATTCATCCTAGCTTTACTATCAACTGGCTAGCTTTATCAGGCAGCTTTAGATGCGAGGGGAAAAAACAAATATATTTGCTAGTTAGTTAACCATCTGATTGATGAAGTTGATCATAAATGCCATTAGCTAGCTAGATAGCTAAATTGAAACTGCTGGGGGAAAGATAGCTAGCTAGCTATCTCCCACACTCATCACTGCAGTGTAGCTAATGTTAGCTAGGTTTCTAGAAAATATCAAATATATATTTGAAGCTATATTTTAAAGACGTGTTACTTTCTTTTTAACACTTGTCAAACTACTTCATTCCACTGCCTGTTTATTGATTAATTGGTGAGTGAAAAAGTTGGCAATAAAAATGCTCCTCCCAATTTCACTGCAAATAGACTATTAGGCTGGTTGGGTGTCATTTGGCTGATGTGCACATTTAAATGAGTGTTTAATTTGTATATATTAGGGATCCCCATTGGAAGCAGCTACTCTTCTTGGGGTCCAAACACATTAAGGCACTTACATTACACATAAAACAAAACATAAAACAGTACATCATATAACATTATTACACCATTACATATCTACAATACAAAATGTATAATACCACCATACAACGTTATTTCAATGTACGTGTGTGTAGAGTGCTAGCGTTTGTGTACGTATGCATGTGTCTGTATCTGTGTGTGTCTCCGATGTTCCATAAGGTGTTTTTGTATTTTTTTAAAATCTGATTCTACTGCTTGCATCAGTTACCTGATGTGGAATAGAGTTCCATGCAGTCATGGCTCTATGTAGTACTGTGCGCCTCCCATAGTCTGTTCTGGATTGTGAAGAGACCTCTGGTGGCATGTCTTGTGCGGTATGCATGAGTGTCCGAGCTGTGTACTAGTAGTTTAATAAGGATCGGACCCTTTATTCAACTTTCCCCTAAAATGACATACCCAAATCTAACTAGCTGTAGCTCAGGACCTGAAGCAAGGGTATGCATATTCTTGATACCATTTGAAAGGAAAGACTTTGAAGTTTGTGGAAATGTGAAATTAATGTAGGAGAATATAACACATTAGATCTGGTAAAAGATAATTCAAACAAAAAAACATGTTTTTTTTGTTTTTTTGTTCCATCATTGAAACGCAAGAGAAAGACCACAATATAATATTGCAGTTTAGGCGCAATTTAGCAGTGTCTGTGCAAAGTTTCAGATTGATCCAGTGAAGCATTGCAATACTGGTGTGATGGGTGATGAGTCAGGTG